CGAATATATCTCAGTAACCAAGAGGTTCTGGAGAAAACTCCACCCAATGGTTCACTTCGATGCATATCAAATAGAATAAAACAACCACTTTAAAAACGGGATAAAGCAAGGGATTTAGAGAAACTGGGGAAATATCTGAATACAAAATACGACGCTGCGGGATGGTAGCTACCCATACCACGCACGCCCTGGCATATATAAGCCTATGGGTCCACCCGAGGTGTGGTTAAATCACTACCACCCTGGTACCCATTCCATCGGGTCCACCCAAGGTGTGATTAAATCACTACCACCCCGGTATCCATACCATCGGGTATAATCCAAGGTGTGATCAGATCACTACCACCAAGGTACCCATTCCATCGGGTATAATCCAAGGTGTGATCAGATCACTACCACCAAGGTACCCATACCATCCATAACACCTGAGACATTCCTAGTGTGCTCCTATCCAGATCACACACTATGACCCACGGTCAACTAGAACTCCCTCTCGGAGACCTATCCAGCGGAAGTCCGAAACTGCCCCGCAGGCTAATAAAACTGTCTACTGGCCAGAGACTCGGTACATAAGTACCCATTATAATAATGCATGCATGCTCGTGTGTTCTATACTACTCATACACACTTCCTATCGTTGCCATCAACTGGCAAGGTGGAACAGAAAAGGGGAACAAGCCCCAGTACCAAGAGGTTACCTTAAATATTGTTTTCACAAGCTCCGCAGCAACTTATCCCTCAACTTGGTACACAACAGAATGCCTCAATCCACTTGGTCCAGGACCAAGGGCAACTCCCAGATTCAAGTTTCGGGATTCAATTCAACGTACGACAACCTATACAATCACGTACATCCATCAGTACGCGTCAAATACAAAATCACAAAATCTTCCCCTTCCTCCTCGAAGGTTCGGCCAAACTAGTGTTAATTTGAGATTTATTTTTCTAAATTTTCTTTCTCATTTTGTTACGCCTCATTAGGTTGTCAAGAGGCCAATTCAAGTGTCGTTTCGTCATTTTCGCGTTGAATTACATCAGAACGCGAAAACCGCAAAATCCTCCCTTTCTCCTTGAAGGTTCGGCCATCTATGTGTTATTTGGGGGTTTATTTTTCTAAATTTTCTTTCTCATTTTATAACGCTTCCTTAGGTTGCTTAGAGGCTAGTTCAATCGTCGTGTTTCCGTTTTACAACATTTACGCATCGTTTTGCGAAATATTTCACTCTAGGTTCTTTATGCCAACTAAGCCACTTATTATTTTTGCATTGATTCTTCCACTTGCCAATCACCACACAACCCATCTAATTATCTTTTTAACACATAATTCATCACTCAAACAATTTCCCACAACATAAATTCCATAATTTTCCTTTAAAGGCCAAGTTGAAACCTATGGCAATTCTAGGATTTCCATTCACTTTTACTCACTCCACATCTCACACAACCACATTATATCATCATATAATCATACAACAACTCATTAATCAATCCTAACACATTTCCAAAAATCCAAGTCATGACAATCCTCAAAATTTCTAAGTTATAAATTCATATTTTTCACCAATAAATTTTATCGCATTTCTAGCTCTAACACATCATTCTAACACATTATCATCTAATACACATTTTTCAATTGAGCTCTCTAACACAACATATCATCGATCAAAGCTTTAGGTCACAAAATCAATTCATCACAATCAACCGTTTAAAATGCAAGAACACTCACCCAAATGGAAGGTACAAGGCCCCTCCTAAACATACTCCACCAATGGAGCATTCCAAAGCTCTATGAACACAAAATTTCTCCTCCAAGTCGCGGCTGAAAATGAGCAGGATCTCCTCACACACACGATTTCAAGGCTCAAGAGTGGTACCAATGGGTTTAGAAGGTTCCCTCCAACAAATTTCAACACAAACTTTGTTGAATTTGGTGAAGAAATGAGTGATTAAAGTGAGGAAAAAATTTGAAAGAAAATTGGGAAAGAAAGAGAGGGGGGCGCGGGTTTGAGGGCTGATGGGGAGTGGAGGAGGTGATGAATAGTGTAGTGATGATGTGTCTTAAGTGAATTTTAAGAGGGGTGGGTCCCACGCCACCTCACGCGATTCAAAACTCTCACTAAACGTCCGTAAATTCAAAGCCTATTTAGAAACTCTAATTTTTAACATAAACTATTCCACTTTAATTAGGCTTGATCAGATGAATTCGGAGTCCTCCATTCGTTAGGATAAAACACTGTTTTAAGCTATCGCGCGCGCCGTTGGCACGTTTCCCCAAAATGACTTACTTTCATCAAATTTTATCAACAATCATATTTCCTAACTCATTAGACCATTTGTAACTCATATTTGAAACCTAGAGCTCAAAATTCAACTGGCACGTTTTACGGTGCAATCGTAACGCAGTATTTTACCCGCGAAAAACACTATTCACTGATTTTTCTGAAACTTGCCTGTCAACTCAATTTTTCGTTCTGAATCCATTTACAGGGTTATTTTTATCATCTGAGACCTTCTACTCAATTTTTATCTTCCTAGGGTTGCGTGTTGGCTAATTACCGTTTTGCCCTTTCTTTGTATTTTGGCCTAATCTTTAGGATTTTCACTAATCCATCACTTGATTGCTCACTTAATATTTTAATTACTTGATTTAAAATTGTGAGGTGTTATAATAACTAGGAAGATTTTCTCTCAAAGAAATTATGCAATTTTGTGACTAAAAGACGAAGTTCTTGAGCTCTCCTTCCTCCTATGGCTTCCACAATTTTTAGAAGAAGAGTGGTGCAGATTTTGGTCCTTAAAAAGAAGGGAAAACCTATCTTGAGAGTGTAGGAAATATCTAGCACACTTTTGTTGACTTTTTACACTTATGTCATCTTATTTCCTATTGGTTGATTTTATTAATTCATGTCTTAATTTATAATTATTCTAGACATAATTAACATGGTTAAGACTACTTAAAACTTTTATAATATTCCATAAAATTTAATCATTTCATTTAATTAAAGTTTCGACCTAATTTTGCTTAATTGCAAAATGGTCTCTATACTTTCACATAATTAAACATTGACCCCTAAAATTTTAAAATATTATTATAAGGGTCCTTATTTTCTTGCTTGGCACGAATTCTATTTTCATAATTTATTTCATGTTAATCGGATGATTAACAAATCAATTCTTGCTTCCGTAACATATTTTTTGAAAAATCTCATAACTTAACTACTTAATTCCATAATTTCCTATACTTATGTAATTTTATTTATAATTACTATACATAATCAAATCTCAAAAGTTTGGGTTGTTATACATACTAAGTATAAGGATACAACTTATACCACACACTTAGCATACACCATCTCATGTGGTAACTCACCATAACATACAGATATTAATACATTATAATACAATTTCTTTCCAAAACTCACCATATTATGCACTAAGTATAATGATACACCTTATACCCCACACTCAGGATACACCATCTCATGTGGAAGGCACCATCACATATATATATATAAATCATTTTCAAAAAAGTATACCATATATAAACCAACATCCCATGGAGTTTAGTGGAACAAACAGGGGATTAACCCTAAAAACCGAAAGATTACTGTAACGTTCGGCCGCTTCAAGAATCAATGACTATCCCCGCATACTAACACTAGACTTTTCATCGTGTTTTTTCCTCACTCGCACACTTCAAGGGAAAAGTTCCCAGGAGGTCATCCATCCCAGAAATGCTCCAAGCCAAGCACACTTAACTATGGAGTTCTTCCGTTCCGGGCTACCGAAAAGTAGATGCATCTTGTTAGTATAGGTAGTACAAATTAATTCTTATAAGCTATCTCCAACTGTACCGTCTCATACCAGCACAGTCTCTGGAATCCCTCTCTTTCAGGTGTTGATGCGATTCATTCATGTACCCCCGCTGCTGGAAGCCTGCCAGGAGCCGCTCCTTGTCTGTGCCCTTGCTCACTAGCGATCACTCCCCGCCCTCGTCAGTGCCTAGGATGTTACATGCCCCTCAGCTTCCGCCTGGTACGTCCTCGAACCACACCATACTAGAAGAGAGGCCTTGCTCTGATACCACTTGCAACGCCCGGCCGCTTCAAGAATCAATGACTATCCCCACATACTAACACTAGACTTTTCAATGTGTTTTTACCTCACTCGCACACTTCCTGGGAAAACTTCCTAGGATGTCACCCATCCCAGAATTCCTCCAAGTCAAGCGCGCTTAACTATGGAGTTCTTCCGTTCTGGGCTACCAAAAAATAGATGTATCTTGTTAGTATAGGTAGTACCAATTAATTCTTATAAGCTATCTCCAATTGTACTGTCCGATACCAGCAAAGTCTCTGGAATCCCTCTCTTTCGGGTGTTGATTCGATTCATTCATGTACCTCCGCTGCTAGAAGCCTGCCTAAAGCCGATCCTTGTTTGTGCCCTTGTGCACCGGCGATCACTCATCGCCCTCGTCAACGCCCAGGATGTTACACTTACCTTTCGCCGCAGTGTCATCTAATAAAATCCTGGTGTCCAAGAGATCACAATAATAACACCTCATAATTCTAAATGCATGATTATATGTGATAATGTTGGTTAAAGGGGTAGGATTAGTGAAAATCCAAAAATTAGGGACAAAATACGTAAAAAGGGCAAGTTGGTAATTTACCAAACACGTATCCCTAGGCATAAAAAATTGAGTAGAAGGTCTCAAATGGTAAAAAAAAAATGCCGGAAATGGATTCAGGACGAAAAATCGAGTGGATAGGCAAGTTTCCAAAAATTTGATGAATAATGATTTATCGGTGTAAAATATTGCGGTATAATTGTACCAATAAGCGTGAAAATATGATCAGTATTTTTAGGAAATAAAAATATAACGTGAACGAGAAAAATATGTAGGTTATGAATTTGTGGATTAAATTGGATGATTTAAGAAAGTTAAGTGACATGTGGGACCCACTTTAAGTGGCTTAAGTGATTTAAAGACACCAAAGTCATGAAATCAACCCATTCTCTCTCCTCTCCTCCTTCTTCTCCCGGGAGCTTCACCATTGTTAGGGTAGAGAGCTTTTTGATTTGCAACTTTGATTTCTAGCCATTTTTGAGAGAAACTTCCAACTACAAAGTTGTTCCCCTTGAGATTGTGAGTGACTTTTATGTAGAGTGCACCTTGTGTGGAGCTTTGTGGAGGGAGAAATACCTTATTTCAGCCACGAAATTTGTGAGTTTTTGGAGAAATTTTGGGACTTTTTGTGTTGAATCATTGGTTGGAGATCATCCCCTTGGACCCTTGGAAGCTATTGGTGGTAGATTTCTCACTCTCATTGAGTTTTCTATAAGATCATAAAATTAGTAAGGGTTTTGATGATGTGTGTCGAGTTATGGTAGTTAGGGGCATTAAATGGTATGTCTCCTTTGGAATTTAAAACTTAGAATGATAAATGATGATGATTGATGTAATAAAAATTATTGGTGATATGTTTAGTAACTTAGGCAAAATTGTGATGGATGTTGTCATAGAAATCATAAATTGGGATGGTTGAGAATTAATGGTTGGTTGTTGGTATGAATTAATTGTATGATTAAGGATGTGTATGAGTGTTGAATTGAATTGGAAAACCTTGGGGGTATGCTTCTTGAAGAATTCGAATTATAAGGAAAAGTAAGGAAAATTAATGTGAAATGGTGGTTTAATCAATGCTTGATGTTTTAGTGCATAATTGGTGGATTAGTGAGTTAGATTGATGATTAAAATGGTTAAGTTAGTGGAGTTAATTGTGAGAGGGTCATTAGGCCTAAGTGGCTATAAGTGGTTAAAATTATTGTGAAATTGATTGATTGTTTGTAATTGGTTGATGGTCATTGTGTTTGATCATATAGGTTGTCTCTCAGAGAATAAGCTTGGAGCTTACGTGAGGAGCATTACTCTTGGAGTTGAGGTAAACCTTTGGAACTTGGGTTTAATCCTTTGTGTTCTCCACCACACCTAGTGGAAGGTTGTGGTTGGATTTTGTGCTTTGTGGCATTGTGTGAAAATGTATGTTCATGCATGGTTACTGGTTGTGTGAAATATTTGTGATCTCTGGCCAGTAGATGTGTGTGGTTTGAACTTCCGCTGGAGATGTTCTTTGGGGATTCCAGTCGGGTTTTTCCGTGGGGCCGACTCTGGGAGCGGCACCAGGATGATCCAAATGTGGGACTTCCACTAGATAGGGCTCATGAGGAGTTCCAGTTGGGTTTTGCCATGGGGTCGTCTCATCCATGGGAGAGGCACCAGGAAGCTTCCCGAGAGTTATATGATGAGGTCCTTGAACGGAGTCCTTGTATGGATGTTCTTGGATGTGAGCCAGTTGTTTGTGATTTTGTGTGTTATGCATTTTACATGATGTTATTTGTTGCACATTGAGTGAGCCATGGGGTGGAGTGATCCTCTAGTACCCTTGGTTTACTGAGATATATCTGTATATCTCACCCCGCGTTTGGGGACATCATTTCAGGTTATAGTGAGCATGGAGGACCTTCGGGCAAAAGGCCCGCTTAGTAGACTACAAGAAAATTGGTATTTAGAGGCAGATTTTTTAGCATTCAGAGGCGGTTTAAACCGCCTCTGAATGCCAAGGAAGGCAGTTTCAAAACCGTCGAGATCAAATCTGAGGCAGTTTTCCTGAACCGCTGGAATAACCGCCTATGCCTATTCAAAGGCGGTTACTTAGGCGGTTTTTGGGGCCTCAATTATCAGAATAAGAATCTATTTGGAATTTAAAGGCGGTTTAAAGGACCACCTCCGAATTTATATAGAGGCGGTTATGTATTATTTTGGAGGAGCATAATTGATGCACATAGCATTACATTTAGCATTTTGGACTTAGATCATGAACATATTGCATGTTGAGATTTCCATGCTTTTGTGGTGTTCGTGATTATATTCTAAGTCTTTTGTAATTGGTTTAGATTTCATGCCTATTGTGTATATTGGTATTTTGGTGAGCATGGGACTTGTCCATGGCCACACATTATGTTTAAAGGCATTTAGAGACTTATGATGAAAAATGAGCCATATGATGTGTAAATGGCAAAGGATATGGTGAATGATGTAAAATGATACATTAGTATTAAATTATGCATGATGGAAGGGCCTAGATCCTACATTAGTACTTGTATAAGTTGTATGTTGAGCATCAAAGTGTTAGGAGTAGAAAACATGATCCATTTAGTGATTTAAAAGCTATCAAAATGTGATTCTGCAGTATAGGAATCGATTCCCACTTGAAAGGAATCGATTCCAAACATCACAGTGGCTGAATTTTACATACTCTGCTTTAGAGAATCGATTCCTTTTGGGTGGGAATCGATTCCTCAAAACAAGAGAGTCAAATTTTAGCTACTGTTTGTTACTGTAGCTGCTGGAAATCGATTCTTGGAGGTTGGAAATCGATTCCCACTGCACAAATTTTGAAAATGTGTCATTTTATAACCTAGATTTAATGGTATTGCTTAGTGGGATTATAATTAATAGGTTTAATGCTTTCGCATGTTTTACAATTATAAATATAGTGTTGTTTTAATTATTTACGGAAATGGGTAATGTTTAACCATGAGGATTTAATAAAAGGAAAAAGTTTACCCGTAAATAATTAACTCAATCACCAAATACTCAAATGTGGAGCATCTGAGGATAGTTCTGCAAGTGCTGAAGGAGAAAAAGCTTTATGCTAAACCTTCCAAGTGTGAGTTTTGGCTCAAATCAGTCAAGTTTCTGGGGCATGTGATTTCAGCTGATGGAGTTGCAGTGGATCCCAACAAGATTGAGGCCGTGTTGGATTGGGAAAGACCCAAGACAGCTACGGAGGTGAGGAGCTTCTTAGGTTTGGCAGGTTACTATCGGAGGTTCATCAAGGGTTTTTCCACGATGGTTCTCCCTTTGACTCGCCTTACCTGAAAGGAGACTCCATTTGTGTGGACTCACGAGTGTGAGGTGTGCTTCCAGGAGTTGAAGGAGAGATTGACTTCTTCACCAGTGTTGATCCTTCCTGATCCTGAGGAGCAGTTTGAGCTTTACTGTGATGCTTCTGGAAAGGGGCTGGGCTGTGTGCTGATGCAGTCTGGTAGAGCTGTTGCTTTTGTTTCGAGGCAGTTGAAGCCTCATGAGGAGAACTACCCGAATCATGATTTGGAGTTGGCTGCGATTGTGTTTGCTTTCAAGATTAAAAAGGCACAAGTTCAGAGAGAGTGTCTGGATTATGTGAAGAACCAAGACGGTGTGTCTTGGAATGATGATGGATTGCTTTTGTTCCAGCGGAGGATTGTGGTTCCACGAGGTCCGTTGACAGAAGATATTATGGCAGAAGGCCATAAAGGTCAGTTTTCTATCCACCCTGGTGCTACTAAGATGTATCAAGACTTGAAGAAGAACTTCTGGGGGTCGGGCATGAAGAAAGATGTTGCCATCTTTGTGTCCAAGTGTTTGGTTTGCCAGAAGGTGAAGATTGAACACCAGAGGCCGTCTGGTAAACTTCAACCTCTTGAGATTCCGGAGTGGAAATGGGAGAGCATTTCCATGGACTTCGTTGTCGGTTTGCCGAAGACTCAGGTTGGTTGTGACTCTATATGGGTCATTGTGGACAGACTGACGAAGTCTGCCCATTTTCTTCCAGTGAAGGTGAGCTTCACTACAGAGCAGTTGGCCAGATTGTATGTTCGCGAGATTGTGAGGCTTCACGGGGTACCCGTGAGTATCATCAGTGATAGGGACCCGAAGTTCACATCTCGGTTCTGGGAGGCGCTGCAGGGAGCTTTTGGTACGCAGTTAAGATTGAGTACCGCCTATCACCCTCAGACTGATGGACAGACTGAGCGGACTATCCAGACCTTGGAGGACATGTTGCGGGCTTGCACGTTGGAGCAGGGCTCGGCATGGGATAGGTACCTTCCATTGGTGGAGTTTTCGTATAACAACAGTTTCCATGCTAGCCTGGGCATGGCACCCTACGAGGCGTTCTATGGTAGGAGGTGTCGTACACCTACCTGCTGGTCGGAGGTTGGGGATCGTGAGTTGTTTGGCTTGGATTTTGTCCAAGATACCACCCTGCAGATCCAGATGATCAGGGAAAAGCTGAAGCAGGCGCAGAATCGTCAGAAGAGCTACTACGATGTCAAGCATCGTCCACTGGAGTTCAGTGAGGGTGAGCACGTGTTTGTGAGACTTTCACTTGTCACCGGTGTTGGACGGGCACTCGGAGTGAGGAAGCTGAGCCCGCGCTTTATTGGGCCATACCAGATTCTTGGTAGAGTAGGACCTGTTGCCTACCGGCTTGCCTTGCCTCCGAACCTGGTTAACATCCATGACGTGTTTCACGTGTCTCAACTTCGGAGGTACATAGCAGATCCTTCGCACATGGTGCAACCGGATGATGTGGAAGTTCGGGAGAACTTAAAGACTCCCGTAGGACCACTAAAGATTCTCGATCGTGGCGAGAAGCAGCTGAGGAGCAAGATCATTCCGATGGTCAAGGTGCAGTGGACCGGAAGGACTCCTGAGGAGTGTACTTGGGAGCGAGAGGACGAGCTTCTCCGGCAATACCCCGAGTTTCGACCAGGTATGTTTCTGATTTTGAGGTCAAAATCCTAAAAATGTGGGGTGAATGTAAGAACCCGCACCGTTAATTAAGGTATTTAATTAATTAATTATGCAAAATTAGGAAATGATTCCATAATTGACCTTAATAATTATTTATGAGGCTTAATAATCGTAATAAGTGATTAAGAATGTTGAAAGTCGCTTTTCGGAAGAAAAATGCAGATACCGGTTCTGCTAGTCGTTATAAATGTGTGCCGAAAAAGTATCCCGAAAAATTAATGTAAGTGCATGATAATTACTAGAATAATATGTAGGACTTGTAAAACGAGTTTCAAGTCCAGATAATGAGAACTGGTGCTGGAAACCGGTACTGGCTTGGAAAAGCGCTTACCGGAAAAGTGCTCAGAAAATTATAAGAAAAATATGATAAATCTTAGAAAATTATGTAGTTTCATAATCCAAAGTTTGGGATTAAAATGCTAAGCGTAGCAATTAAAGTTAATACTGTGTGTTAATTGGGTAAGTGGCTATAAATACCCTTGTTAAGGGCACAAAGCCCTAGGTTTTCTGTTGCTACGTGAATGCTGGAGTGGCTGGTCAGTTGCTACTGTTCCATTGAGCTTTCTTCACCATTTTGGAGATCAAGTGCCAATTTTGCTTGGTTTCATCACCTCCAAACACTTGAGCCTTGTGTGAGTGGTCATTGTGAGTGTGAAAGGAGCACCTTTTCTGAGTTGTGGTGGTTGTGGGGGCTGAGGTGTTTTCTGGTTTGGTGGAATTCTTGTTGAGGAGTGTTGTGCTTGGCTTGTGAGGCTTCAAGGAGCTTCATTTGTGAAGAAAGATCCTTGCTTGGGTGGTATTTTCGTACACCCTTGAAGTCAGCACCTTGGGAGCTGATTGTGAGCTCCAAGAGCACCTCCAACCTCTGTCTTGAGCTTTGGTAAGCCTTGTCACCTTTGGTCTTGAGTCTTTGAACTTAAAAATGAAAGCTTGATGCATGTTAAGGCTTAAAGATGATAACTTGTTGTGGGGTAATGTTGAACACACCTAGAAATGCATGTTTAGGTGTTTAAAATTGGTAAAAACCCTACCTTGGAAGGATATCGTCACGAAAATGCAGAAACTGCATTCTGTCGTGAAATATCCGGATATCGGCCCGTGGAATATCCGGATATGGGATATCCGGATATGATATCCGGATATGTGTATTCGGATATGGGGTTTTGGGATATCTGGATACTAGATATCCGGATATGGGATTCTGGATATCCGGATATTGCATATCCGGATATTGCATATCCAGATATGGTCCCGAGGAATATCCGGATATTCTGGGATTTCGTAGAACAGTAGCTGTGTTGTGCATACAGTAGGCTATTGGGGGTTTGTAGACCCTAGATTGATGAAGTTGGACTTCTGTTTTTAATGGACTAAGCCAGAATCATGGGATTAAGGGCTTGTGGCTTTGTTAGAAGCTTTAAGACTTGAAAACGTAATGTAAAGGCGTTGTCTTAATATTGTATGCTTGTGGTGCATGTTGTTGATGTATTGTTGGTCCATAACAGATTGTGAATCTGTTGTGTTTGGACTTTGAGCTGTGGAATCTTGGCTTTTGGAGTTAGCTTGCAAGGTAAGCTTTCGTGTCCTCGGTTTAGCCATGTTGTGGTTCCACCAAGTCCCATGGGGGTATGGTTTATGCATGCTGTGTACATGCTTTTGAATATTTGATATGTTGATTGAACTTTACATGCAATGGCTTTTAATATGCATGTGTTGTTTCATCTTGACGGGAAGCCTGAGTATGTAGCGCCATACAAGACGGTGTACCGGGGTGAATGCAAGTGGTACTTGCACGGTGTGTAGGTGATAGACGTATACCTTCACTGTCTCTGGCCAGTAGATTAGTATTGACACACATGACATGATTATCTGCTGCATTGCATTGTTTTAGAAATGATAAATGATAAACTGCTTTTGAACTTATATTGCACATGTAAGTGAGCTTGGGGTGGAAGATCCTTGAGGACTCACTGACTTACTGAGATTTCTAGATTAGAGATCTTACCCCACGTTTGCGGAATGCTTATTTCAGGATCAGGTAGTATGGGTACTGATGCCTCAGGCGGCGGGAGGCCGGAGCTTAGCTGATTTTGTTGTTTCTGCTTATATGTTAGCATGACTGGATTTGGATGCTGTTTATGTTTTCCGCTATTTATGATATGTTGTTGTTGAGACTGATGTTGGGCATGTTGCCTTATTTGAGTGAGCATGGGGATTGTCCATGACACTTTCTGTTAGTACTTGTAGTTTGGAGTTGTATAAACTGTTAGATGGTCCGGTTTACGTTGTTGTAGTTCCGTGACTAGAGCCACACTTTTGTTATCTATGTTATGAGGTATTTCAGTTAGCTGTTTTATTGCAATTACATACATGCGATGTTTTATTAATTGATTATTAAGCAAGTTGGTAAAGTTAATGACATCATAATTGATAAGAAAAAGTAATTCCGCATTTTAATTAAGCGCAGCTTAATACGATATTATGATAACATTACCGGGTATATATACGGGGTGTTACAATTAGAATATGTGTTAGTCCACAACATTGATGTCAATATTATCTTTTGCAAGTTATGACACTTAAGGCTTTCTCGAAAGCCATTAGTGTAATTATTCAATTTATACCTTACACTCATTTCACAAGGGTTCATACTAGTTTCTTAAGGTTCTATATCCTTAAAACATCACTTACTAGCACAATAGAGTCCACAAGAACAATCTCAAGGAACTGACTTTATTTGCGTAATCGGCATTAAACCGTTCTTACCATTTTTAAAACTGGTATTGCATTATTTTACCATAAATTCCACTATTTTACTATGTTAAACTAGACCTCTCAAGCTTTCCAACGACATATTATATGTCTCAATTAGAGTTTTATAAATCAAGTTATGTCTTTCACAAACTGACTGCTGCAAATCAGATTTTCAAAAACTGTGCAGCAATTTTAAACTCAAGCTGAGATTGGTACACTTATCTAATGGCTTTGAGATTTTATAGGATTATATCCCTATGTGTTAGTTTCACATAGGTCCAAACTTCACTCAATTTAGAGCTCTGTAGCTCGGGTTATTCACATTTTACTGTACTACGTTCCACTACAATAGTAGGGATTCAAATCCTTTCTCGAAGGGGATTCGAATCCCTCCTTGACAGAAGTTGAAATTCAACATTTTAACAGTAGGGTTTCGAATTCCTTTCGAAAAGGATTCGAATCCCTCTTCGACAAAGACCAAGACAGCAATTTTTAGCTGCATAACGGTCCTCTTAGGCCTCTCCTATGCTCATATGACCATTTAATCAATATCCCAACATGTTATTAACCCATAAATAACCTCTAAATTCTTCCTTTAACCCGAAATTATATTATTTATCGAGGAAAACTAAAGAAAGATCAAATCTTTCTTACCAAGAAGCTTCAACAACTAAAGAAGAGACATTTTCCAAGCTCAAGCATCGATTTCCATGGATGACCAGGGCGGTGCATGAATTTGAACTTATCAAGTTTGGTTATTTTTCCACAAAGGATACTTCTTAGTGGGTGATGGTGTTTAAGCTTCTAAGATGAGGTTTAAGGAAAGAGAGGAAGAAAAATGCTTCCTTCCATGGAAGGTGGTGAGCTCACAAGCAAGGAGAGGAGGAGGTGGCTGATATTTAGGGTTTTTGAAGAATGTTGAGAGGGAATGTAGTGTTTTGAGTTTAGTTTACTAAGTTAAAACACTTAAGTGAGTAATAACCCTTTTCCCCATAATACTTAACTCACCTTCATTCAGTACATGGACTATTTAACTTACGCATTTTTCTTGTCATTTTAACTTCATAAAATTCATGGGATAATAATCACTAATTTATTTTTAAGATTATGGATAATTTAGCCTACACACATTTTTATCCTAAAATCACATTGTTCTTTCTTTTCTCGAAAAGGTATTTCAATTTAAATAATTAAAATTCTCTTCTAAATATTCTCTCTTAATTATTAAATAATTACCAAGATCACAATTTATAAATTAGGGTTCTTACAACTAGAGTCACTTGCGGTGTGAGGCTCCTCCTTCTTGTCTTATACTCCTTGACGTAGGTCCTTTAACTTGTTTTTCAGTTCAAAGACTTGCGAGGTGTTCTGGAGGTCTGAATAATTTTGCTCGACCGCATCTTAAATCTCCTTAGCAGTGTTAAGAAACAGATACGTCTGACTGATCTGCAGCTCTATGGAATTGGTTAACCAAATGAGTTATTGATCTCCCAATCTTCATATTCAGGTTGATTCTCAACCGGCTTCTTGATTTTCCCATTTATATAACCAATTTTCCCCTTAGCACAGATGACCATTTTGACAGATTATGATGATTGTAGAAAGTTTTTGCCATTTAATCGGTGACTGATAATTTGGAGCCGAAAATTATCTCTAGAGGATTGCAAATTAAGGTCGGGAGATGAAGCATAAGAGTTTAGGGATGAAGTCATTGAACGAGTGTGAGATGCGCGGAATGACCCAAAATTCATCTAACTCCAAGCTCAATTTTAACAACACCTTGAACTGAAAGAGGAGGAGCCAACGATTTGAACGATGCAAATAGCGGATGGTTTATGGGATCATATTGGCTTTGATACTATGTGAGAATTCTAAAAGAAAAGGTTTCCTTGGAATTGTACTGCAATAAGGAGATGATACATATATAAATACACACCATGTGTGACTGAAAAAGGAAAAAAAAAAAAAAAAAAAAGCTAATCAATCTTATATAAAAATGGAAATAAAACTAATCCTAATTAACTGAATTCTATCAATTGGGAATTTGACAAAATCTCTTAATAAATAGAAATAATCTTCAGATTTTGTACAATATACATACATATATTTGTTATAATTTTTTTAAACATTTTTTTATATGAAATTTTGGTATTCTACTTGAATTAATTTTATTTATTTTTCTTATATTTACACGGCCAATGGTATTATTGCCGGATAATAAGATGTTGCAAAAGGCCTTTCCAATTTAACAATATTATCACTGCATTTCACTGCTAGTTGGCCACATTCTGTAGTGGTTCTCGAATGTGCGTTCGTCTCTGTCCTGGGCTTGGTCATGGGTGAAACAATATGCAGGTGATTGAGTAACTGAATCTGGCAAAACGGCACCAGCCTCCCACGTCATCACGTGGGAGGATATTCCTACAAAACCAACGGCCCCGTTATTTCTATCAGTCTCACTATTATTATATTGAACTTTGGAGTTAGAACAAGGAATATATTACCTCATAACTTGGTCAATTCAATTCTTAAAAGAACAGATATCAATTCAATTCAATTCAATTAATTAATTAATTAATTCCCGTTGTTGCATCATGTTCTAAAAACTAATTCAAAACTCAAATTTGATGTACCGTCATAGAAATCCCAGCGAACAGGCCTCTTGGAGATGACATCCTCGAAGTACCAAATGAAGTCAACTTTCTCCCACACGTTGCAGAGGAAGCCATCAGTGACATGAGTTCCAAGGTAAACAGCACCATCAAGGAAATCTGGCCTGGGAATGCCAACCTCGAAGTCCATGACCCTGCACGTTGGATTTGGGCCGAGGGTGAAGTAAAAAGAAGTGCCGTTGTCCCACTCGATGTCGTACAACACCTCTCCCAGCTGCTTCTGGAATATGTTTACGTTGCGTCCCTTGGGCCAGTCGTACCATAGGTCACTAAGTTGGAGGTGCGTGGTGCTCAGGTTCATGTAGAGAAGCGCGTGAAATTGCTCTGGCCATGGTGAGGGGGTTGGGTTTGGGGTTGAACTTGTACTCTCACAATACTGCCTTTCAGCTGCAAAACTCATCCAAAGGAGAATGATAAGACAATTTGAGCATAACCATTTCAGGTTCAGCTTCATCTCTCGAGCTCTTGTGTTAAGACTTTGGAGTCCTAAGAAAAACGGATAGCAGTGGAGATAACGAGACCGAGCTGAATGGTTGGAAAAAATAGAACTAAATAAAATAATAATAAAAAGATATGCCAGAGGTTCTCGTGGGCTCTTTGACTCTTTTGCCCCTCGTTAATTAATTAATAATCATTTTGTCCCTTATCAAAATTATCCACCAACATGCTCTCTTTAATCGATTAACTGCAATATTTAATCGGTTAAATGGTTAAAACACGTAAATATGGTTGATCCGAGGTTTAATCGATTAAATTTCGGGTTATTTAATCAATTAAAATTTAGAGTAAATATCTTTTTTGGTCATCAGCAAATTTCACGATGCCCGCTTTAGTCCCTAGCAAATAAAAAGGCCCATCGTGGCCCATCGTGGTCTCAGCAAATGCGAGGGACCACGATTTCAACTAAATAGGTCCATTTTGAATTTCTTATAGACCACGATGGGCCTTTTTATTTGCTAGAGACTAAAACGGGTATCGTGAAATTTGCTGAGGACCAAAAAATGTATTTACTCTAAAATTATATTTAATTGATTAAAATGCAGCTCATATGTTTTTTAAAACACCCCCCCCCCCATTTGGCAGAGGGGGTTATTTTTAAACCCTAATCGATTAAACTCCAGATAAAAGCCCTAACTCGGATTTTCTCTACAAATCTTCGTCTAATCATGTGGATTGAGAAGACAATGTCTCCTACTAGTTTCTTCATCCTCCACGGTAAGTTTGCTTCGTTTTGCAATATTTTTTGTTGTTATTTTTCGAATTTAAGAAGTGTAGACCGAATGGGTAGGGGGTTCGTTCGATTGGCATGATATATAAGGCCATTCTATGTTTTGATGGTTGTTTTACTTAGGGTTTTGATAAATTTAGGGTTTTTTCATGGTTTTTTAACTTATTTTATTTTTGGACGAACTTGTAGGTTCTGAATTTTTTTTATTCTGTTTTATTGGTTGTTGATACATTATTATGTTATTGTAGGGTTTCTGTTGCAATGGCAGGCCATAGAAGATCAAGCAACATCGACAGTGAGAGACAGAGGAAACAATGACAAAACAACCTCCTTCTTCAAGGCCACAAGACACTGAGCCTGAGCCCGTCGACCTCCCATTTGGGTACCTATTTAAGGATGACCCCTCGGTGCATGCTGCACTTATGCGTGACCATGTGAATAGACCCTTATGTTCACCAAAATCATTGGATACGACATTCTTCATCACAAATCTATGTTCATCACTTTTTGCTACTACGGTTGTACGATGAGCCTTCAGACAATATATTTTCACTGCATGTTGCATTTTAGATTTGTTACGAAACTCCTGATACAAATATAATGGATCCCCTAATTGCCAACCACCGTGCAAGTCATCGTCACCGTGCAAGTCATCGTCACCGTACAATATATTTGTCTCATCATTAAGGTGCGCCCAATTAATGAAGAAATAATGCGGGCTTTCGTTCCAAAATGGCTCAATCTCAGGACCTACGTCTAAATCATTACTTTTCTGTCAGTACCAATAATAACACAAAGATGAAATGTTAAATTAAAACTTTAATTTATTATCTTACCACTGCTAATTGGATCAACACGAAGTGGTGGCATAACCGAGGAACTCAGGTTTGCTGGGTTCGTGTCAGTGTCAAAATCACCTTCCACGTCAGTATCTGAGGTGTCACCTATTAGTATATGGGTGTCCTAGAGACAATCTTTTTGATTAAATAAGGACATAAGATGTGGACCTTTTTATCGCAAATAAATAATAAGCACTTTTTATCCTGTTTCATATTTTGTCTCGATATTATTGTTAATATATTATGAATAAACTGGATAAACCCTTTGGAATAGAACAGGTATTTCTTGAGTATCTATGATGAGATCACGATTATGAGGATTCAAGGATACCGCACGTTTATTCCTAATTTTATGTTCCTAGTCTAGAGACACTGAGAATGGGGATCAGTGATCTCGGGTAAGACTAGCACGACTTATCTACTTGTATTTGGATACAAGGTAAAGACCTCATCTGCTACAGATATGGAGATGTCTTAGCTAAAGTCGTGGGTGGACTTATAAGGGTATAGCTCGCACTGAACAGACCCACAAAGAGACTCTATGAGGAAATCTCACAGAGAGTATCATTAGAGTAGTCTCTTTATATTTGGGTATGTCTTTCCTTATACCAGAAGTTATTACCTAGACTGTGTTCTAGAAGGCACGCTTTGACTGTATACCTCGTCTTCCTGAAACATGGAGACTCATAGGTACACTGTTGGGCTTGTCCTGGAAGAACACAGGGCTAGGGTGATAAGCTGAAGGAATTCGTCAAATCTCTGTGAGAGATTAGGTTATCTGTAAACCGGAGAAATTGGGATGACATTTACAAGGACTATGGAATCTATGCATAGTAAAAGAGATCATGAGATGATCTGCCGTTAGAGTCAGTAAATTGAAGATTCCCTATTTCGAATAAAGCTTACCCTAAACCGCAAGGGTTGATGCGTTTCTTTACCCTAGGTTTAATGGGAAGGTAACCGAGACGAAAGGAAATACATACGGCAACCAAATATGTGTAATAGGATGATTATGTCATTAACCTAACTAGCTCTGGGGCAACAAAGCATTGCTAGTTCTCTGTGTTGTCATTAGATGGGTTGTGGGCTTGTTTGGCCCAAGCCCATTTATGTCAGTGGCTAACTTGGGCCTAATGCGCCACTTTTGTGTTTTTTCTTGCTGAAAATTCACTCAACTAAACACCTTGAAACATTGCCTCCTACCTCTCCATTAGGGACGCCTAGCTTGCCTCCCTTGGTGTTCTTTGGTGGCCTTGAAGAAGAGTTCTTCCGTCTTGGCAAAGGGTGGTGTGGATCAACATTAGAGGGCTTGTATCTTCAAGCCTCACCTTGATCATCTTCAAGTTTTGGAAAGCAAACAAGGTAACATCCATGTCCTAAAGCATGTTTCTAGATATGGTATGTGTAATTCTGCTTTGAAAATTTTGTTTTCATCCTCACATGCCTACGGCCTTCAAGGCCATTTTTCTTTCAAGTGGAATAACACTATCAGGTTCACCCTTCTCATCACTCTCCATATCCTTGTCCTGCTCATCCTCATCTCTATCCCTCAATGTTATCTGACTTATGACAGGTGCAGGTGCAGATAAATCGACGACTCTGTCTTCTTGACCAAAATATTGTGGATTTCTTGTATGCATGGGTGCAGATGAAGATTAACCACAATCAATTTCAACATATATCTGAATAAAGTTTTGAAATTTCCGGTCAACAATTGCATCTATGACACATTCCACGTCTTCATCATCACATATATCGTTACTAATGTAGTATATAGCATCCTTACCAACTATAGACTTTACCTTGGCTATCATCCGTGAATGCATTGGCTGCCTTGTAGCCCCAATTTTTGGTGAATTCTCCCCTTGAACTCGTTGTATGTAGTGTCTCGTTTGATTTTCGACATTTTCGTTTTTCCTTCAAATTGAACACCATTGGAACCTTCATAATGCCTTCCATCGTGGTAGATCACTATAACTGTAACAACCTGTTGTACACTGATATTGTTAACATTGATTATGATATTAAGAGCACTTACAATCACAACAGTTCATTTATAAAAATGTGAGTAAACTTTTTCCTTTTCATTACGCGAGCATTTAAAACAATAATAAAACTTAATGAATAAAAGTTGTGATCATAACTGAAAACTAAAGGCGGAATAATTATAAATAATTCCTAACTATCATATAATGCTTCCCTCAAGTAACTAAGGAGTTCCCATAAACCCACTTAGCATAAATCTCACTTTTACGGTTTTTATATAACTGAACATGGTTTAGTAATCTGGATATTGCGAGAGATCTGCATGCTACGAACCTCCCATGTTTTAGTATGTTATTCTAGACTTAATTATATTTCTAACAAGCTATCACACACTCCATAAAGTTCTCATTTGCTCTGGTTATCATCGTTTGAAGTTGGACAAGCAAAGCTGCCAGCCAACCTCAAACAGGGCTCCAAACAGCCTCTATTCTTTCCACAATTCTGGACAAAATACTCCACCAATTGCTCTCAAATTTTTATACGGTAAAATAGACACCTCAAGATTAAATTTTACATATCATGGGCCTAATTTGATCAAGAATTAAGGTGGCAATAAATTTCCCAAAAACAGCACCCGACACGTGCAGGGCACTTCGGAACAGTCTCTACTCAAACAACTCTACAGGTCTGCGTACAACTCCAATGGCTACTAAATTTTGACACAATGTATTTGACATCTCAATATTCAAAATGATGTATGGAATGTCCCTATTGGACTTCTTTGGAGGGAGATATGCTCTCCCAAAGTTCACCCAAAATCTACCATTTTATAGAAATTTCGACAGCATCTCCTTTGTTTATTCAACCTATCCCACTTTATCAAAAGTATGTTAACTATCATCGATGGTACCTACTACTCAAGGGTGGCACTCAAAGACCAGCAATGCATTGGTTCTCTTACAATCCATCACAATTTATATTAATTTACTCAGTTTACATCTCATTACTTACAATTTGAAAACTTAAACTGTTTCAATCACTTTGATCCATTTTCTTGCATTCTTTAAACATACACATAATCATCAGCTAAAATAGGCCTATTGCCTTTTCATCATACATCATCCTTCAATAATACACAAGGTCCAATATTTACAAATTACAATTCTCCAAAATAATAAACATGAGTATAACCGATTCCTCCAAATACAACATAGTAAATCATCAACTAAATTTAGACAAAATATGGTATGAACAAAGATGACAATATGCATAATCCTAAATCAACATACAATGTTCATGCCCTAAGTCTAGCCTATGCCACAAAGGCCTCTAAATGCAAAAAGGTGCATAAATCTCCAATGCTCATCCTATAGGCCTCTTGCCCACGGCTCCTGTCCCACTGATTTTACATGAAATAAGGTCCCCAAAATGGGGTGAAATATACGAATATATCTCAGTAACCCA